TTCCTTTCCACCACACCATTTTGTTGAGGTGTTCTGGGAGCTGAGAAGTTATGATTAATACCACTTTCTGCACAAAAGGTATCAAGCTTCACATTTTCAAACTCGGTTCCATGGTCGGACCTGATCCCCACAATTAAGCAATTGAGCTTGGTTTGGATCATCTTGAAAAATATCATCAGCACATCAGTTGTCTCAGATTTTGACTTGAGAAACATAGTCCACGTGAATCTTGAGTAGTCATCCACTATCACTAGGATATACTTCTCCCCGTTTCAACTTTGGATTTTCACAGGCCCGCACAAATCCATGTGTAGCAACTCAAGAACCCTTGAAGAGCTTACTTGCTTCTTTGGTTTGAATGAGGATCTGGTATGTTTCCCTTTGGCACATGTGTTACACACTTTGACGTCACTGAATTTCAATTTTGGCAAACCACGTACCAGGTCCCTAGATACAAGCTTGTTCAATAGAGACGAGCTCACATGACCTAGCCTCCTATGCCATAGAACGACATTTTCACTTTGAGCACTAAGGCATGTCAGATCGTCTCCATGAGTTGTTTCCAAATCTACCACATTCATGTTTTTCCATTTTCTGGCCATCAGTATCACCTTTTTGTTAGTCAGGCTGGTGACAATGCATTTGTCTGAAGAAAACCTGACTTTGTTTCCCTTGTCACAAATCTGGAAGACGCTGAGAAGACTGTAGTTTAACCCACTCACATAGTAAACATTTTCAATTGAGTCTTCAAGTGACTTTCCAACTCTGCCAACTCCAATGATGTATCCCTTCTTTCCATCGCCAAAAGAGACACCTCCACCTTGAACTGCCTTGAGTGAAAGGAATTTTTTGGCACTCCTAGTCATGTGCTTCGAGCATCCGCTGTCCATGAACCAGCACTGACTGCTACTTCCTTCACCTCCTGCAACACAAATCAATTATTAGATTTGGGAACCCACTTCAATCTGAGTTCCCAGTAAGCTGACAAGGGCGTAATTAGAATGTTTCTTGCCCAGTGAGGCAGGTTTGCTTTTTTCTTGTTCAAGGATTTAAGAATAGGACCATGTCCTCTTCTTGGAGTTGTCTTCTATCTAGAATAGACTAAAAACTTTTCTTGAGAGACCTTCCAGGCAGGACAGTCCCTTTTCAAATGGCCATTTCGACCACAATGAAGACATAATAAATTATCCGACACAGATACATATTTACTGTGGGGATTATAAGGAGAGGTGATGTTCAGGCTACCTAATCCCTTTCTGTTATAGTTGCTTTGACCGGTGATTTTGGAAAATAGATTGGTGGAACTGGTCCATGTTAGAGAAGTTTGAAATTCTTCTTTAAGATTGACCAAGTCCCTTTCCATCTGATCATTTCTTTCCAATGCTAGAGCAAGTCTGGTTTCAGCCGCATTCAGACTAGCTTCCAGCTCTACTTGCAAGCTAGTAGCATCCCCTTTTCTTTTTTCAGATTTCTCAATCATTAGACTCAATTGTTCCTTGAGTTCTAAGTTTTCATATTCTAGAACCATTACTTGTTCCTCAATAACTGAAGTGTGTACAGTCAACACAGTTTTTTCTTCACTCAAGTTTTGTTTAAGATCAAGGAGAGTTACCTTTTCATCATCTTCTTCGTCATCTGATTTCGCCATGAGAGCAAATATGCCATTAAATATGTTGGTCTCATCTTGAACAACCAGCATAGATGCATCATCAGGACATTTTGATTCTTCTGACTCACTTGAAGAATCTCCCCAGATAGCAAGAGCCTTCTTCACAACGTAGTCAGCTACAGCTTTTCTTGCATTTTTCTCAAGTACCAGGTCCTTTTTCTTATCTTTTTCACCTCTGGGTCTTTGATACTCTTTTTTTCCAGCTTTGAGTATCGGGCAATCTCGTATGAAGTGCCCCGCCTTTCCACAATTGTGACAAAGATCACTGGTAGTTGCAGCACAAGAGAGATTCCCTCTTCTCTTGAACCCTCCATGTTTTCTCACAATTTTTTGAATCTCTTAGTGAGATACGCCATGTCATCCTCTTCACTAGAGTCATCTCCAGACTTGATTTTGAGAACTAGAGACTTGTCTTTCTTAGCTTCCTTTTTTAAGGTGTCCTGATTTTTGTTCATTTCATGAGTTTTGAGATTTCCAATGAGAGCATCCATCGTCAGAACCTTCAAGTCCTTTGCTTCAGTTATAGCATCTACTTTGCTTGCCCAAGACTTGGGAAGAATTCGAAGAATCTTCCTGATCTGCTTACTAGAGCTAAAGAGTTCTCCCAAGCTTCGCAGCTCGTTGGTTATAGATGAAAACCTTTTATGCATGTCATGAATGCTTTCACCCTCCTTCATTGTGAAGTTCTCGTATTGGGTAGTCAGCATATCCACATTCGACTCCTTCACCTGCTCTGTCCCTTCGTGAGCTGTTCTTAGACTGTCCTAGATTTCCTTTGCCGATTCACATGCGGAGATGCGGTTGTACTCTTCGGCACCTATTCCACACACTAACAACTTCTTAGCTCGGTAGCTTTTCTCGATCTTCTTTCTGTCCACCTCGTTGTACTGTTGGCGAGTCTTTGGAACAACTTTCGTGATTTCACCATCTTTCATTTCCACGGTTGGAATGAAAGGTCCATCCAGCACTATGTCCCATAACTCGCTGTCCTCAGCCATAAGATAGTCGTGCATCCTTGTTTTCCACCAACTGTAAAACTGACCATTAAAACGAGGAGGTCATATTGAAGATTGTCCTTCTTCGAGGTTCAGTGGAGCAACCATTCTTTTGCGAAAATATCTCTCTTGGTGTTAACCAGCTAGAGAGTACCTGCTCTGGTACCAATTGATAGAATGGGTGCGTCCTCTATCTGTCAACGGACCAGGTCCCTTGACCAAACCAGAATGACAATGAAAAGTAAATAACAATAATAACACAACACAAGCAGTTTATGTGGAAACCTCCTTGCTCAAGGGAGTAAAACTACGACTGTCACACAGGGTTTCCAACTGTTTTCACTAGTCTTCTTTAAGCAAAAGTGAACAACAATTACAACCACGTGAGAAAAAGCTATTAATCTCACCACCAAGTAATAACTCTATTACTTGAAGAGCCTAAGCAGATGTCACTCTGCCCACTAAGCTATCACTACTAGACAACTTAGAATTTGACTAAGCAACACGCAGGTTGCCCACTAAATCAGTTAAACTCAACTAATTTAGACTTTTTCACAAAACAACTATTTGAATCCTTAATAGATGTAGGAACAGATTTACAGTGTACGTATAGAAGATATAATCCTAAGACAACTAAGCTTGTAGCTCTATATGGTTCGAGTTGATCTTGAGAATGAATCTTCACTTTTGTAGTAGCCTTTGCAAGAGTTCTTGAGAGTTTTCAAGTTGCAAAAACTAAGGTTATGACTATTGGACATAATCTATATGAAGAATAGTCACAACCTTTGAAGCCATGCCATTGGCTGAGGTTTCTGCCACTGTTGGAGACTATGCACCAACCAATTGTACTTTTTCTAGGCTGGCAGTTGTGTGTATATTTGCGCCCGAGATCAGGTCCCTTTACAAGGTCCCTGGATTTGTCAGATCATCAAAACTACAATTAACAATCAGAATTCAAAGAAAAAGAACCTCTTCATAGCAATGCAGTTGTGATTCCGAAAGGTAACGCACATCAGGGGTAGAGCTATGTGGTTGTCGTGTCCAATTGGATCCTTTGTCGGGAAAAAAATATCATATATGCAAATAAAATGATATATAAAGTGATTAAATAACATATTTTAGACACCCTTGATACAATAAGTTGTTATAGCCTAATGATTTCAGACACCTCAAATAAGTCAATGCTTATGTATTCAAATCTCACTAGCTAAGGACAATGTATATATGATGATGTTCTGGCTAAGACGCCAATTGTTGTTGATAAAGTTGTAGTGGTCACAGAGGATAAATAATTGAAAATTTGTTAAATATTTGACCGATACCAAAAGCGTTCACTTTTGTCATTTGAATTGATTTTGTAGATCACTTACAAATTTTTTTAAGTTTTGTGTCATCTTTACACCTAAGAACTGTGAAAAGACTTTTTCTTAAAATTCAATTTGTAAGTGGTCAAGAGACCTTATTTCCTCACTACTTTCTTTACCGTGATTCATGAACAAATTCATAACTACTTAATAAATTCACTCTCAAAGCAAAACCATTACATGAATTAATCTTTTAAATTCAACGCGTCTTTAGTACAACATGATAATGTTGGATGTGCTAAATATAATATGAGTATAACATTTCATCAAAGGTCTCTCTATCAAGGAAAACTTCAGTAACGAAAAAAAACCTTCAATTAATTAATAAATATATAATGTATAGTAAGTGGCAGATACTACATGATTTCTGGTGCATTACTTAATTATTGTTTTAATAAAAAGTCTTTATTTGAAGAGTGGGCATCCTATTCTCCAAATTATAATTAAGAATATGTGTGGATCATGAGCTTCCTATAATAATAAATTTATAAGCCAACGAACCAAGTTGACTAAAATTCCATCTTTCACAACCAGATTTTTTTTAGAAAGGAACAATTTTAAATTTTCATACGTGAAATATTTCCGCGATGTTTTGATAAGAATTAAGTATAGCATGAACGCATGGGACATGTACCAATAACTTAATACTCCATCCGTTTTAAAAAGAATGACCTAATTTCCTTTTTAATCTGTTTAAAAAGAATGACCCCTTTTTTTTTTACAACATTTTAACTTCAACTTTTCATGTGGCATGTTTAAGGCCATAAAATTAAAGGACATTTTGATGCATATTTGACATAATTTTAATTTAGAACCACAAGATTAAAAAGTTTTTTTTCTTTTCTTAAACTCCGTTTCAAGTCAAACTAGGACATTCTTTTTTAAACGGAGGGAGTATGTATATTTACAAAAAGAAGAAAGCCACACCCTTTATGTATCCAAGCTCATTACAACTCCAGGTACAAAAATTTAGCAGCCTATAAATCAATTAATAGAGAGATGATCAATTACTTATTTACGTCGATTCTACTTCTTTTAGTCCTTATAATCACATTGAAATACATTTATTCATCACGAAAGAAATTACCACTTCCTCCGGGTCCATTTCCATGGCCATTGATTGGGAACCTTTTACAAATTGGTAAAACACGTCCTCATGCTTCTCTAGCAAAGCTAGCTCAAGTTCATGGCCCTGATTTTATGTCCATAAGGTTCGGTACGCGACTCATAGTTGTCGCCTCATCCCCTGCTGCTGCTGCTGAGGTTCTCAAAACACATGATCGCGTTCTTTCTGGTCGTTATGTTTCTCGTGTTGTTCGAATCAAGGGATCAATAGTCCATAACTTGTCAACTGCTTTTCTAGAAGAGTGTGATGATAATTGGAAAAAGGTACGAACTATATACAGGGGAGCCCTGTTTTCTACGAAAGCTCTGGAGTCTCAGGTTAGTACGAGAGAGAAAAAAGTCATGGAAATGATACGATATTTGGAGGAAATACAATTAAACCAAGTGATTCAGATCAGGGAAGTAATTTTTGTGACGGTTTTAAATATATTGGGCAATTTGCTTCTTTCGATGGATTTAATTGATTTTGAAGGCAGGGGAGTGGGTGAAGAAATGATGAAGTACCTGCGTGAATTCACGGAGACAGGTGCAACTCAAGAGTTAGCTGATATGTTTCCTGTTTTGGGTGCAATTTGCAGTATGAATTTCCAGAGAACATACAAGAAAATCATGGATTTGTTCAATAAAACGTCTGTTGTTTGGGCTGGCGTCGTTCAGGAGAGAAGAAAAAGAGAGAGTCAAACTTCTATGGATGCTGTAGATTTTGTTGATGCTTTGGTTAAAAATGGTTTCACTGATAAACATATCAATGCATTGCTTATGGTACGTCATCTTCGATATGTTTCCAATTTTTTCATCTTCAGTTAGTTAAAACTTTTGAAAAATATTTTCAGTAACTGTACGTACAAAGGTCAATCAAGTAGTATTGTTTTCATTTCCTTTTTATAGGAATTATTTGGAGCCGGGACAGAAACCACAATTGTTACAAGTGAATGGATGCTTGTGGAGCTCTTGAAAAATCATCAATGCTTAACAAAACTCCGCGATGAAATTGCAAACGTAGTAGGAGATAAAGACGTTATAATAAGGGAATCTGACTTGACGAACATGCCATACTTGGATGCTTGTCTGAAAGAGACATTAAGGTTGCATCCTCCTGGCCCGTTGCTACTCCCTCATCGCGCTGTGGAAACATGTGAAGTCATGGGCTACAGAATTCCGAAAGACACACAAGTGATGGTCAATATGTGGGCAATTGCGAGGGATCCAAAGGTTTGGGATGATCCTTCAAGCTTCAAACCCGAAAGATTTATGAACTCTAAGATGGACTATAAAGGGCGAGATTTTGAGTATATTCCATTTGGTTCGGGAAGAAGAATGTGTGCTGGAGAACCTCTGGCTTCGAGGTTTGTTCCTTTAGTTGTTGCTTCTTTGGTCCATAAGTTCGATTGGTTTCTGCCAAATGATATGAATCCGGATCAGATTGACATGGATGAGATCTTGGATCTCATAATTTCTAAGAAAGATCCAATTCTTGTCATTCCTAAATTGAGGAAATGATCTGTAAAAACTCCCATAATTACCTTTATAAATTGTACCACAATAATCAACCTTCTTGCACCTATAAATATTACTCTTGTGTTGGTTCAAGAAATTTTTGCATGAAACTTCAATGTTCGTTTATTGAAGCATGAGACATTTGACGTATTCTATCTGTTTCAATTTAAGTGTCTTAATTTGACTGAACACAAAATTTAAGAAACAAAAAAAGAACTTACTAAATATAGAAAAGCGCTCTTTTTGGGACAGATCAAAAATTAAAGTGGAACAATTAAATTGAGACGGGGGAGTATAACTTTATACACGACTTTAGGACTATGAAACTTAATTATATATTCATAAACAACGAAAATCAATCGACGGTCAAGTAAGCATGTACACCTTGAGGCATAGTGTTTCCTTCGAAGACGGCCAACATTAATGTTAATTGCTACTCACTCCGTTCTTTTTTATTTGTTATTTCTTTCTATAAATAGTTGGACCATAATACTTGTCATTTCATAAAATCAATGCATAAATTGTGATATTCTTCCTATTATACCCTTTGATTAGAGTAGTTAATTAGTCTTGAAAATATATATTTTGACCAACCTAGAAAAACTAATAAGTAATTAATATTTATTGAAGTACTTCATACATTGATTAATTACTCTCTCCATTCACTATTCTATAAATTCTGATTTTGAAAATAAACTCAAAAATTCAAATAGTCATCCAAATGCATTTTAATTTTTGAAAACTAGCATATTCATCATTTATTGAAAAGTTGACTTAAGAAAACATTAAATAAGGGTAGAAGGGTAAAGTTACTTAATTTCTTAATGCAAAGACAATCTGAAAAGGTGACATATAAAAAAAAACGGAGAGATTAATATATCTATGGAAATATATGTATCACATCCAAACGCACACGATAGTACAAGTAAATAGGATTTTAAAATCTGATATTGTATCAATATGACTAGTTGAGTAACTATTTACTAAATTAAATTAATATTAATTAATTATTTAAGCGGTAAAATCCAAAATATATTTTGAATGAGTTAAACTAAAAATAAAAAGAAGTTAACTAATGAAAATTAACCAAGTAAATAACAAAGTTTACGCAATCAGTGAAAAATTGATCTAGGGCTATGACTTCCTTAATTAGACATATCATGTAGAATAATCACTTAACTTTGAGCATCATGTCAATAATTTTAAGACTATTTGACTATTTCTAACGGTTATATTATTATAGTTGTTGGTCGATAGTGAAATCCATGTATATTTCATGTGTATCAACCAACCAAGTCTAACGGGTATATTCATATCCATGTTAGCGAATCGTTCCCTTTCCCTAGAAGGTTCACAATCAAATTAAACTTTATTTTTTCTTATTACGCTCGCCAATTCCCTCTTCCAAAGTCCAACTTATGAGCCACAGATAGTATATTTGACTGGTGATCAAACAAATAGATAATAGCTCAAGAAAAAGTAAGTAATCATACGAGTCGTAGCATAATGATAATTATCTTAATAAGTCAATTCAAGTTCATACCGCAACAATCATAAAGCTACCACAACTCTGAACGAAAAGTTTAGCTCCACATGATCATGAAGAAATTACAACAAATTATCGAAAGACAAACATAAAAATAAATAAATATGAACAAGAAAAGATTGAACCAAAATTCTCCGACCTTCAAAGCGGGCTCCTAGCTCTTCCTTGGCCAAAATTTATGTTTAAGAAAATAAACAAATATATTTTGAATTTTATGATCTTAAATTAAAGTTATGTTAAATGTATCAAAATATCATTTGATCATGTGGTCTTAAACATAGCATGTGGAAAATTGGAATTTAAAAATTGTTTAAAAGGAAAGAAACGTTATTTTTTAAACAGGCTAAAATAAATGAAAGTAAGACAATCAAATTAAAAAGGACGGAGCACATTTTTTAAGGGCGAACAACACAAATCACAATAATTTCGGAGATAATTACCTATCTTCTCTTGACCTCTAGATACATGTATCTAGCACATCCAGATACATGTATCTTAGATACATCTAATTATATATATATATATATATAAATATGGATGTAAATTAAACACATCAAAGAGCAAATCACGCGTTCTATTCTAAATTTATCCTCAAAAAAATCAAATTTTTTTCCCTATAAATATATATAATCTTAATTCAAATACACACATATATATATATATTTTATCAGATACATAAACTGTTAATTAGATACATGTGTATATTTTATCAAATACATATTTTGACCACCGTCTCTCTCTCTCCTCTCTGGTTAGAGATCGTCGTCTCTTTGAGAAAATACCATTAAAGCAGCAAGGGGCCTTTCTGTCGATCATGACATTGACAAACTGAATCTTTACTCCACCAAATCAGCGAGGGGCGTTCTGCCGGCCATGGCATTGACCAACTGAATACTCCGCACAAAATCAGTGAGGGGCATTCTGTTGGTCATGGCATTGGTGAACTAAAACTTTACTCTACTACTAAACCAGCAAGAGGGAGTGAGCTGATTTTGAAGTGATAAAGTAAATCAACGAGATATAATTAAGTATGAAACTCTATTTTAAGGATTCATGTATCTCAATCCAAATCTAATACATAATGAATAAATAATGAGATAATAGATAATTATTTTAAAATATATATTAAATTAGTAAATATGATATGAATATATGTCTAATCAGATAATTTTTCCTTTTAAAATAGATCTCGGGCCGTGATTATTAGATATATCCTAGTGCGATCTGATCAATGAAAAAATAAAACAAATGTCAACTATATTTCGTCATGAATCATAGAAAATGACTTGAAAGGTTCACGTACATATGTAATGACAAATTGAATCATTTAAATATCATACTCATTTATTTGGCTTGATTACTAATAAACCATTTTTTTCCCTTAGAATAATTGTCTCACTTCTAACGATGGTTAAATTTTTGCCAATCTAAATATATTCAAGACCTTCTTAACCTAACCTTCTTAACCTACCGCAAAATAAAATTATTTATATATATATACTCCCATCCAACACGTTATCGTTATTTTGTTGGTGAAAATCCAATACTTAACTTTTACTCTCTCTCGTTATTGTTTTTATTTTCTTGTCAGATGACTCAATTTATGTATTCCTCTCTAGCTGTCTAATATACTGCACTCAAACGAATGGACATTATTTTTATGGTGTTAGATCGTTCGGTTGTTATGTGAGTTTTTAAATTATTAATCAAACATCATAGTAATTTTATATATGAATAATTTATTTTATATCTATCTATCAAACGTCGTATTAGTTTCACAACATTAATACATAATAAATTATTTCTTATCCAACTACCATATATGACCCCTTATTCTTGATGACTCTGTCACTACAAAAGAAAACTTGAATTCGCTATGAAAATCGTTGCTAGATTACTTGTAACTAACATAATATATTTGTATTGCATCAGTAATTTGTGATCATCACTAATTAGCATTAGTGACGAATTCTGTTATTTAGCACAAAATATTTTGGTCGCTAAATTTTTTTTAATTTTATTTTTTTGCATCCACATGTTACGTTGATGCTGATTGGGGTTAGTATATCACACCTACTTATCAGAAAATAAATATTGTAATGTGATATTCCACACGACCTAGATTGTTTTACGTTTACCAGACTTTACTTAGATGAACCAAGTTGCCTAACCTGTTTCAAAGACAATGTAAAGACAGTAAAGTAAGAACACAATATTTTACGTGGAAACACCCGGCTCAAAAGGTGTAAAAACCACGACATGTTCCTCAACAGGATTTACCCCAACTTCGCTAAATAACTCCGAGCCTCAACCAACGAACAAGATTACAATAGTTTATCTAACCTAAAGATCAACTACTTAATCTCAATTCTACCACACACCTCCAAGGTATGTGTTCCCAGTGTCTTCGAGTTGCCCTCAACTTGAAGACTAAAATCCTATTATCAGTTTATAAATTACTGATCTAGAAAATATAAAAATCACAAATACTAAGAAAACTTCCTAAATCTGTTCTTCAGTATTCTTTGATCAGCAGCACTTCAAAAATCAATCTCTCAATTGTTTTGCTCTGTGAGTGCGTGAATATAATGGACGCCTCTTCTCCTATTTATTCTTTTGCTTTCTTGAAGTCTTCTACTCCTTCAGTGACTCCTCATTCGTTCAACCACTTTATTTCATTTAGAGTTCTTCTTATACCTTTATTAATTAGAAGTCCTTCTTGAAACAGTTTCTCATCAACTCACTTTGCCAACGTGTTCCTTGCATTTTGTCATGTATCAAAATAATACTTATCCCAACATTTTCTTTTATTCCTTTCTCTGTTTTGTGTTGCTAATAAGTCTATGATTTTCTTCTTCCTTTGATCATCATCTTTGCTCTCCCACTGAAGCTTCCGCTTTGCTTCAGTTTAAGCAACCTTTCAAGTTAAATCCGACTACTCCCAGTGTGATACTTCTTTCCCAAAAACAAAGTCTTTGAATGAGAGTGGAGATTGTTGTACTTGGGACGGAGTTACATGTCACATGTTAACCGGTCCTTAGTTGTAGTCAGATTGTTGGCAATTTTCATCCCAATAGCAGTCTCTTCGAACTTCATCATCTCCAGACACTAAATCTTGCTTACAATGACTTTTATCCTTCTTCGATCCCACATAACATTGGCCGATTGACGAATTTGAGGCATCTTAACCTTTCTCGTTCTTTCTTTGATGCAAAAAATCCCAACAGAAATCTCATATCTTTCCAATTTGGTTTCACTTGATCTTTCTATGAATTGATTACAACAAATTGATGAGAGAACATTTGAAGCAATGCTTCACAACTTGACAAATATGGAGGTACTATCTCTCCTTCTTGTCAACATCTCATATCCCATACACACTTCGAAAATCAATCTCTCAATTGTTTTGCTCTGTGAGTGCGTGAATATAATGGACGCCTCTTCTCCTATTTATTCTTTTGCTTTCTTGAAGTCTTCTACTCCTTCAGTGACTCTTCTTTTGTTCCATAATTCT